GAGGGAAACCATAAGAGGGCGCCATCGAAACATCTCGGCGCTAATAGTGACACAGACAGATGCGCTAGGCTCGCAATGCTGTGGCTATCACGAGCGCCAGCCTCTACCAGCGCTCGTGGTTTGGGAGCCAGGGAAATAAAGAAAAAGAAGTTGACTCTAGCCAAAGCTCTAGTTCGGACGCCTGCATTTTTCCTCCGGCGTTTATAGAATCCCACCGACAATACTATAACTACATGCTATTTTCCCTAATATTGGTACAGCTACTTATATTTCAGATTTAGTTTTGCTTTTTAATCTGACAAAACTACGACCATGTCTATACTAATATTATCACGTCATGTATCTCTGTTATGGTTCGGACCGCTGCAGCAAATCAACTGGCAGGACAAGACATGGTTTCGAGCAGAAAATCGCTCCCTTAATAGGCTGAAGGACAGATGGCTTTACATGTGGCCACTGCCACCAAATCTAAACCCGCTGCAGTTTTTGACAAGAAGGACAGTTGGCTAATCACAAGACTGAGAGGACTTAGGGATTGTGTTTGGATAGTTAGGTTTCGGGGTACGTTGGTGGGGCTCTTCCTACCCGCTGAAGCCCCTTTAATAGTCGGCGTGGCCATGTGGATGTAGGTTTTACATAAGACGTGTTTTCGTTGCCGTTAAGCTAAGGCTGCGAAGTTCGCTTGCAGTTACAAATCTAAAGGAATTTATATACTATGCACCGGCCATGCGCTGGGTAAAGGTAAATATTCGATCATATGATTAAAAAAAATAAACGACAACGTGAACCGGGAGGAATGTAGCTTGTCTCGAAAATATAAAAATAGATCGCGCATTAACTTTGCGTGGAATCGACCCTTTACAAAAGTCTATCGAGCAACATTGGCAGTCGCCATTGCTTCGACACGAAGCACGTGATTGGATCCGAGTCTTCGCTGAACGCTGACGTGGCGCTCGGTTTAAGTACGCGCTGAGCCGTGTTCAGTCCGAACGCTGAGGCAGGCATCGTGTCCAATACATGCTCAGAATATGCGACCAAGCCATACTTGTGCCTACCTTATACCCCTCTCAGACGGCACCGAAAGTGGAATTTATGACAAATGACATTCCGAGTAAATGTCATTTAGGCAGTGTCACACGGCAACTCAGATGACATTTGGCCGTAAATGTCATTTGAGATAGACCTAGTTCCCCAAAACTCAATTACGGTTTGAAAAACGTACTCTTGTCGGCAACGCTCGACACATGTTACGGGATTTCGAAAACAATAAGAAAGAATAAGGCAATTATTTGCGAAAAAAGCTTTTACATCATTTCGATTCCGAAAAAAAAAATGTGTTTAACGTAAATTTTGCACGTACGTTACGCTCCTCATTGTTTAACCTACACACGGCTCCAGTTCCCAAGAGGCCTAATGGTTCTGAACCTGTCATGGAAAATGCCATCTGTTTGCTTCGGCCGGCTCTCGTTTCCTTGGCTGCAGTTGCGCTTCGCATTTACGCGTTTTTTACGATGTCGGAAGGAACGTCTGTCTCGAAGACAAGGCCGTATGTCTGCTGGACCACCCGAGAGACGTCGGCACTCAAACCATGTGGGACGACCGCCTCGAATGTCTTCGGCCGTGGAACCAGAACGGCGGGTTCCGCACCGGCATACGGGCGTCCTTAGAAGCCCTCAGGATCCTCAAGACTTGTACCGCAGTCCATCAAAGCAATGAAACCTCAAGGAACATGTTTGGGTAAAATATAACTTTGATGATGAGTGTAACCTGCTAGGTGAACACATGCCCACTAAATAATTAGCAGCAAGGACGGCCGCCTATACATCGTTTCATCTTTCGTCCAGACGCAGCCGACGCTACGAGCTAATGGGACCAATAAAGCAGCGTCAAAAGCTTAAGTCACTGGGCCCTATTTGTTTATGATTGGAGAACACGTTCAGAAGCATGACGAGGGCACCAGGATGTGCGTTTTTGACGCTGTTTGGTTTGTCTTTCAGCTCGTTACGCTGGTTGCGTCTAGACATAAGGTGAAACTAAGTATAGTACTTGTTTTGAGTGTGGGTCGTCGCAGCACTGAGTACCTCGAACGAGTTCATGGCATGACCGGCTTGATCGTGGTTGATAGTAGCGGTCTTCACCTAGCAGAGGTTTAAATTTCGCGTTTCTTGCTCAGGCAACAGCTCCCGAGATTGACTGAGATTCCTTTGTCGAATGTCGTACTTCCGGGTAGATTATACACTCTCAAGAAAAAAGGGTGTAAAAGGGTGTATCGTCACATCCTTTGTCCCATATAATACACCCCAAAACTTCATTTCGACGTACAAAGCCCTATAGTCGAACAGACGCCCCCAAATTTTACGAGGGGCTTGATAACGGTGCGGTATAACTTTTTCAGTAAATAAAGTACGTATTAAAGGCCCCCACACAAAGAAAACACTGAGTTTTTACAGTAGGGGCAAGAAAACCCCGATTATTGCTTTTTTTTTTGTGGTCAGTAACACGTGCGTTAGCTATTTTAATAAGTTGTACCACACGGCTATCAAGCCCCTCGTAAAATTTTGGGCCGTCTCTTTAACTGTAGGGCGCTGTACGTCGAATTGAAGTTTTGGGGTGTATTATATGGGACAAAGGGTGTAACGATACACCCTTTTACACCCTCTTTTTAGAGTGCAGCAAGATTGCAAGACGACAAAAAGAACAACTTACTTTTATTTAGGCGGCACAAATCTCGTAAAAGGTTTGTTGTTTTCATAAACGAGGATAGTGGAGGCAGGTATTCGCCACCATGGCCTATTGCCGGCTTTTACATTATCATTGATATGTTCTGAGAAATACATTCTAAAACATTCTGCAGGAATTTAGTCTTTGAACGTGTCTATTTCTAGCTTTCTTTATTATGATATTAGATACTCCCATGCTGTTTCAAAACCTAAATATGCTGCTTCTGTTTACATTTAAGCATCATATCACCAGTAATATGATCCGTCCCAATTTTATTCCAAAGAATTCTAAAAAATGTTTTTTGTACCTGAAGCTATTGCATATACGTATATATTGAATACAGCTGCTACACAGTTGCCACTTGAATTGTCTACATGTTCCAGAAAACATATGCTGCTGGGGACTACCATATCAGTAGGCAGAGTGAGCTGGCTACATTACAGAGAAATCTACAAGTTTCTGGGATGACTCCCTCTGGATAAAACGCTGCAGCTTCTTGCAGCCATAGCCACTTGTGTGACATTCTCCACACCCAAAGGGCTGCTTGAAGCCGTAGTTCGTTAGTAAGTACGGCAGCCTGTTTTCAAACCAGCGTTCCTTTGTTGAGTACGCTTGAACGCCGTGTGTATAGCGAGTTGCTTTAGAAACAGTACTCAACTGTTTGACAGAAGTCTCCCCAAGTCGAAGCTCACGGAATCCGTCTACGACGAATGTGACGTTCTCCTTAAAAACCGGAGACAGCGGCTTAGGCACTCACCAGTAGTTCCCCCCTTATCTTCCAGTTCGACGGTGCAGGTGCTTCTCGTTTTTGATTGGGGGGACAAAGTAATCGCTCTTGGCTGTTGCTCAGCGACAGAAGCCGCTGTCCTTGAGTTGATGCTCCTCCTCAACGGGCATGTGTATCGTTCCTCGCGTACCCATAAACAAGTCTGCCTGCCTTATCATATTCTAGCTCGGCTGCTAGGGATATGCAATGCCGGACTACATGATAAGACCCTGTAACGGGGCGAGGCATATTAGAACGTCATGAGTCAAGCCTGAACGGAAAGTGCCATGCCTATAATAGTTTAGTGCCATCTGTTCCTAAATAGATCACGACAAAATTTGATCTAAAAGGTACTGTGCAACGACATTGGGTAGGAATATTTCTTACTTTACACCAGTTTCCTGGCACTAGTGGGTCCTACGAATATTCGAACGCAACACCACTGATTAAGAAGCGTCTTTGTCGCGGCGGAATTCAAAGGATGAAAGCGGAGCTTTTCTTTCAGTCTCTCCTTCCAAAGCCGCCTTTTTTCTCCTTCGCGAAATTTGATGACGGAGCTGTGAGGACAATGGCAATAGTACGATCCCCGGGAATTCGTCATCGACCTTTGCGGTGACGATATTCAAATGCTGCTCACACAGTGGCCGCGAAGACTGCGTACGCATTCGATCTGGGCTCGTGTCAATCGATGCCTCGACATGCAATCGGGTAGTGGCCCGTGTCCAATCGCTGCAACGACGCGACAACAGCCGAGCCATAACAATGTCTGGAACTCAGCGCGTGTCCTGTATTTTGCCAACCCCAGCGCCTGGCTATGATCAACATTGGCGGCATATTCTTGTTCTGGCTGCGAGTTAAGTGGGTGAATGGTGCTCGCTTTTTCTTTAATTTTTTTCTGGAACTTCTATTGCGTGGGGTGAAAAACGAACGTGTGTTTCATAAGTCATTAACGTCAGGGATCCGTTTTAAACGGTAATTGCGCAAAGTACGAAAATTGTTGCATCGCCCCTTTAAACGAAGTCGTTTCATACAGAGCAACCCTCTCTGACTTTTTTTTATTTTTAAATTACCAGCTTGCAACAATATTGCCACGCATCTTCAAATGTAAACCAATTACTTTTATTATAGTATTTGTACTCTACTCAAGATATTTTGTACCAAAAGTAACTTGAATACTACTTTAAATAGAATTTCAAGTGAGTACTCAGATTCTTATCTTAAACGCGTTTGTTGAGTATTTGGCGGAACACTGGATCAAGCCATGACGGACAGACGTTGGTGCGGACTTTTGAAAGGGGCCTATTTAAAAGAGTCAATCAGTGCTACCACTGTTAAGACAAAACAAATTGACGCAGAAATCTTATTTGGAACCTTGCCTTCAGAAAAGTATAAGTGAATGATAAAAACCTTTTTTTTTTTTTAATAAATGAAATAGAGGAGTTTTGGTGTCACGAAAACTTGCGAGAGAAAAAAGAAAGCCCACAGGCAGCGAACATATTTCCTCGTGACTTACCACCACATCGCCGGAGCAAACCCCAGGCGGCACCTTAGGCCTTTTGGGTCCAGAACATTCCAATTCGCAGGATATAGGATCATAATTGTTTAAATGCTGAAACACATTCAGATAATGTCATGAATAAAAATAGCAGTAGATTTGGGTAATTAAACAATGTTTCATAAATCCGAATATATCAATTTGTATGCTATGATCTTGATTCCACGCATCAAATTGGTATACACAAAACCCGTTTCCGCGGAATTGTTTGCGGGTCGCGGCGAATGTTTCCGTTATATTTTATTTTCTCATTTTAAGTGAGAATAGGCCCCTTTTGAAAGTGTGGCAACTGTTGGAAGCTGACGAATGCCCGTAAAAAGGCGGACACATGTGCGATCCTCTTGTGTTTGATTGCGCCTTGGCAGGGTTGGGCAATATCGCGTTACAAGTGCAATCATGTGCAACCACTATCATGATACAATCGCAATACAACTGTATCATGATATTTTATCGATAATTTCAGTATTTATATTTCTGAATGGCGATACAATTTTTCAATCAGTATTTGTAATTCAGTATCGCAATGCATTTTTGCTGTGTTCCTTTTGTAACGATACAGCCACGAGACAATTTATCTCGTTACAATGCTCGATAAATCAATGACACGCAAACGAAAGCTCAATAGGCTGTTAACTTCCTTTTTTGTGCTTCAAGGAGTAGAACATAAAATAAATATGCTTTGTTATCTAGCAGAGAAAGGTTTGTTTCGAACATTATGACCTGGACATTGGTGACCGCCTTCGTTTTTTTTTTCAATGATAACATAAGTCCTCTTGAATGCTTTAGTTGTGCAACTCTTTTTTGTATAATCAAAACGTTTAGGGGACGTGCATACAAGCTTCACAACAGTGCGTTTAACTGCCACACAGAAGCGTAAAATTTCTTAATTCAGATAATCAGATAAAGGGGCATAACTTCATTCCAGGGCGATGTCTTGGAATGACTGCAGAAAAGCTAGCGACATGGGATTAGCGGATGCTGACCTTTCGAGGATATTGGGGTAAATATATAAAATTAATTTAGAAGTTTTTGTATTATTGCTTCAAAAGATAGAAATATAGATAGAAAGTATTTGAACCCCTACTGAAGACTCGCTTAGTTCCCACAGCTTTATCAAAATAAAATTGGCAATTCTACGCGGAAATAATTTCGGGCTCGAGAACTCCAATTCAGTTCCAGTCTTTTCCTCGCGGTTAATATACGTTTTTTTTTTTTTTTTTTTTTTTTTTTTTACTGGAAGATTTGTTTTTCGCCTTAGAAGGACTCGTTTCTCGCATGTGAGTGAAGTCTACCCATTACCGCCACCAAGACAGCTCTTCACGTACGTAGAAAGCAGGAAAATAATATTTGCATCGTTTAAAACCTTCCCAATGAGAAAGCGGCCTTCGTTTGTTCTAACATAAAAACGTCTTCGTCTATACTTCTGGAACGGTTAATCTCGTTCACTAACAACACTCCTTGACCAAGTCGGCAGCGGCTGACCGAGGACTTATTTAAAAAGCTACTTCTCATTAAATGAAGTAGAGCTTTGCAGCGAATTCGTATCCTTTTGTTGTGTATGCTTCCATAAAAAAATTAAAATATATAGAAAGAACTTGGTTTAATTCAACATAGTAAAAACACTTCGAGACTGGGGAAAAAGGAAGGAGGGACAAACACAGACCGATTTTTGTCCGTCTTTCTTTTTCCCAGTCTTGGGGTGTTTTTACTATGTTCAACTACCATCAGCTCATTTGCATTCAAACCTTTCTTTTTTGCAAATGAGAACTTTTTTTCAGGTAACAGAAAAGTTCACACAACAAAGAGATAAAAAAATGTATATCAATATTTCTGCCATGGCAATTTGTATTCCTGTATTTGAATTTCAGACTTCAATTTTAAATGTATTTCTGATACGTATCGCCATACTTCAGTAGGGATGTATTTTAATAACAGTATTTTAGTTGTCTACGTGGTGTATTTTAGCACTTGTATTTATATTTACAAATACATTTTAGAACATCTCCGCCCAACCCTGAGCATAGGCTGCACGAGGCCTGGTTCAGTGGGATCACCAGTCGAAGCTAGCTGCACGCGATACTTGCATGTTCCGCGGTGTTGGTTGTTCCAACTCTAGTTCCAACAATGTTCACTGGTGCGTACTTTTTTCAATCGACACGTGGCTTTCAAAAGGTGTGATGAGTGGAATTCACGGTGGGAACCTCGCTAGGGGCGCTTCCGTTTTCCTCACTTTGGGGAGTGCACGTGCTTCCCACGCGGTTATGTTTTAATTTTCATAGTGCCACTGCTTAGTAGCTTGGCATTGCACGTGATTGCACCAGCAGAGGAAGGTGAAGTATCCTCACTCTGGACTAGGAAAAATTCCACCAGGGGGTTATTCGCAACTTCAACGTCCCACAGGTGCCGGGGCGGTAGTTCCAAGATGGCTGAAGAGACGGCAATAGATTCTCAAGGATTTCCCGTGCGTCTGCTCGCTGACGCTGGACAGCGCGCTATAATAATGTATCTGCCTACAAATGAGACGCGATCAGTACAGGAGCATATTTAAGGTGACGAATATGTTGATGCGCATTAGAAAAAGGAGCCTGTTTATATTTAAAAGTTGCGGAAACCTCAACTTGCGAAGCTTTGTGGAGGGCGAGCGCGCTTTGGGCACCGGCCACGTCATTGATTATAGCAAAATATTTTTGAGGGTGATGAAGACATCGGGGTGTTTGCACTTTGCCTGGCCATTAGTGCTCTTTAAAGTGAATCGCATCTCCAGAAGAGCAGCGTTCACAGTACTGATGTATTTGTGTCACACGCTCACAGCTCGCTGCTACACAGTTACGGTTTTGGTGAATTGCAACATGTGATCCAACTGCGGTATTGTTATCGATAGTAAAGTTTAGGATAGCGTGGCCGTAGGCTACCGTACGGTGCAGCATCCTAACCGGAAGCTCGTGCTGCGCTTTTCAGCATAATTTTCACCGCTCGCCAGGAGCGTTGCCGTCCTCAGGGTAGCCTGCGCTGACGCTCTGCTAAAACTGCCTATTAACTTCATCGGTGTGTTTAGGTATTTCATTTTTTCCTCTATCAAAAATAAATATTTTAATTTACCATACATTTGTGTACCGTGTTAGTTCAAAGATCGCCAGACTGCCCGTTCTAATCTCGTCACGAATGGCTGGCTAACACAGACGCGCTTAAAATGCTTCTATTATTTTATTATTTCCCTTTGTAATTACATAATAGGAAGCACCTGTATTATTTCTTTTGAAAGTGCTTAGAGAAATGGGTCATATTCCTTGTAACCGCCTTAAAACGCGAGCCCATTCCCGATGTCTATGGCACGACATACCCCTTGCGCCACCACTTTTTTCCTACTTAGGGCAAAAAATAAACATTTGTGAACCGTACGCTAGAGGCTCTACAATACTAGCAGGAGCATTTGCCGTCACGTTGAGCGCAGATTCAGCCGGTGACCACAGGTCCAGAAATCTGTAGCGTATGCGATACAGAAAATGTCGCTAATGAAATTAGACATTCCGGTTCCTTCGTGCAACGCTTTTGCGACACGGAACACAATAATTACTATTTTATCGCGCTCACTGTTTTTGTTAAAACTGTTTCATGAACGAACACGTCGGCCAGCACGACCAAGGCAAAAAATCCCTAAAACCGTTTCCCCGCCTCCGCCGCCGCTGCCGTCCCCGCTCCTATGTTCGTCCGCGAGAGGGCAAGCAGTGGGCTGGAGTTGCGAATACCAACTGATCATCCTAATCAAAACTCGGTGCTCTCACGGTCTCATGTTCCCACGCGCTCTCGTCCACTCTTCACCCAAAGTTTAAACCTGTTTAATCGCTTGATGCTGCCACATAGTATAGTCACGTGGTTTCCAGCGGGATTTCCGTACTCGGTGTAGAAAAGCTTTTATCGTTTCCGCAGGTCTGCCCTCTGGCGCGGCGAGCCAACAAGACTCGTGGGGTTTCAGCAAGAGGTCGTCAATACAGACGAAAATAAACCCTGCTGAAGGGGGAACAAGAGGGACAAAGGACAAACAAAAATCTCCAAACACAGCTATAGGTGACTGGTGCGCGACCGAAAAACTCCACCTGGTCCGGGTATCGATCCCGGGACCTCTCCATTACATGTGGAGCGCTTTACTAACTGAGCTAACCGGGGGATAGACGTCAGTAGAGCCAACGGGTTTTATCAGCTGCCACCAGTCTAACACCAACAAGGGTGAAGCTTGCAATTTAAGGTTATGATTATAATGCAATTGAATGCACAGGTGCAAGCGAGCTGCAGAAGCTCGCTCGCACCTTTGCGTCTAATAGCATTATAATCATAACCTGTCTTCCCCTTAAAGGGACACTGACATCCCTAAAAAGTTTTTAAAATAGTTTTTGCCGGGCGATTTGTTATGGTGTCAGAAGACTACCCAGTCAATATTTTGCTACAGCGTCAAAACTCAACTGTTTGAAATCGAAACCGAAACCGGACTGGGGAGGAAGACGAAACATAGAGGGAGGAGAGTGTAGTCGGAAGTCACGTGGCTGTGCAGCTTTTTTCTTTCCAATCAACGTATTTACAGCTTTTTAGGAGCCACAAAAAATGGGTATCATTTTCCATTTTTTATTCTTAATATTCTGTGTGTGCCTTCGATGACCAACGACTTTGATTACATTTGGCGGTTGTGTCTAAACCATAGAAAACGGCTCGTGACAACGGAGAAGAGAGTGAGCCTGATTCAAGCCGGCCAGTTCTCGATCGGCGCTTTTCGGGCGGAAAGAAAGCGAATTTCGAGCCGCGAATTGTTTTCTGGGTACTTGGGCTCTTATATGTCATGTGCAAATAAAAACCTTGGCGAGCATAAAAACCTCGACGAGTAAAATAAGTACATATCCCCAATAAAACATTCTTGTTTTGCTCAAAGTTGCTTTCTCAGAATCGTATATGAGGGGTTATTTTCAATAGCTTGTTCGAAAAGGTGGCTAATGCAGAAATACCCGATGTGGATAAGTGTTTAAAAAAAACGCATGTTTTAGAATGCATAAATATTGAGAAAAAAAGAATATATATATATCAAACTTTTTAAACCAGAAAGGTGTTCAGACGAAAAGTGCTGGGAGAACACAGTAAAAAAGAGGGTTGAGATGCACTGGGCATTTTGGGAATGGGTTGTATAAGAATGGGTTCATATGCAAATGGAGCTTTTCGGTGGGTTTGTAACGTCATGCGTTAAAACAGGAATGGGTTATTTTGGAGCACGGCCTACCGGAAAGTTTTCTACGATTGTGCCTCGTGTTAAATAACCTCAGCATTCGTGCTGGTGAAAAGTGAGCGTGGTGTGAGTGGGAGAAGAAATTGAAGACGTTTACAATTCTCTGTAATGCCGAGTTAGAGAGCAGCTCTTGAGGAGGAGTGGAGAATATGCCTCTGATCCCCCTTTTCCCCTCTCCTCCTTTCCTGCGGGAAATGTTCGCTAAATTTTTCACTAAAGTTAGCAGAAAAATTCCTCTACTAAATTTGGCGGAAACTTTTCCCCACTTTCCCCACTAAATGTAGCATAAAAATTTCCCGGCTAAATTTAGTGCAAAAAATTCCCTGCTAAATTTAGTGGAACAACTTCCCCACTGAATTTAGCGGAAAAATTTATCCGCTAAATTTAGCGGATAAATTACCCAGCTAAAGTTAGCAGGAAAGTTTCCACGCTAAATTTAGCGGTAAAATTTCCCCGCTAACTTTAGCGGGGAAATGTCCCATAATAAGGAGTTTTCGTAGATCGTTTTTGCTGTCCCGCAACGTTCTCCGAAACCCGTTACGTTACCCAGAACTGTACAGTAAAGGCCATAGACGCGCAGGCGCAGTGGCGAGTCCTTTGTTGCGGAGGGCTTAGCGGAGGAGGAAACACGGTCTACGAAAACTCCCTAATGAAACGCGCGGTTACGCCGTCGTCGACGCCGACGTTACTCAACCCCGAAACGGGCGCCTTAGAGCCGCGCTCTAAAACGAGATGAGCAGTACAAACTTCAGGCATTCAGTAGTGCACAAGATTGTCAGTTAATAATTGCACGCAATTGTACAAAAAAGCAAGAAAAAACAAACAAACGTTGTTTTGGTTCTTCCGATTAGGGAAATATTTTTATACAATAAGTTTAAACTCACAATAAACCTTCTGGATTGCTCTAGTTCAGGGGCTTCAAACTTTTGTGAATTTATGCGCTTCACGACACATCGGTAAAAATGACGCTATAAAAAGAGTCCTGTGCATTTTCACTGAGTACTCCTATGTTTAAACGATATGTCTCTTAAGTCAGTTAGCGTATGTGATATCTAACGTACGGGTCTTCACACCAGACACAACATTTTAATAAAAACGCTTTTTAGAATTAGTCGATATGGATTATCTAAGAAATAACTAGGCTTGCACCTTTGAATTTAATTGAATTATAATAAACTATTTGTATTGGATTGGATTCTATGCCTTCAGATACTTACACCAGATCCCTCAAGAAGGCACTGTATACCTCCGCTCTCAATAAGAATATCCATGCAGCTATCGCCGATATCGTAACCAGACAAAAAGCCCACTGAAAAAAAAAAAATCGTATGAAGGTTTAGTACCTTGCTGGGCCATGTCAGCAGCTCATTTTAGACTAAATACAAACAAGCTTGTGATCTATCTTTGTTGTACTACTTTATTTCCCTTTTTCTTATAACTATTCAGCTCACATTTCAGGTATTAGAAGCACATTCCATTCTGCACTATACGTTTGATTGATTGGATTAATATACAATTGTCTCATTTTTATTGAAATGTAATTGTATTGATTTTTTTTCTCTCTTTAATTGGTTGAAACCGCCTTCTCCCTTCGATCGCTAATATTAAGGACATTTTTGTATTCAAAATCTGCTACTTCGGTGTGCACCTTAAAACTGTTTAAAAAAAAGAACTCCCCCTTGATTGTACAATATTTTAGGTATTAAAAATTATTAAATAATATGAATTATTATTAGAGTGCCGATGCATGTTGAAATCAATCTTCTGTGCATTTTTTTATAATTTCTTTCCACGTTAACTATCTGATTGTAACACTACAAATTATAACTATTCTTGTCAATGATTGTGTTCAACACAATATAATGTTCATGTTAGGTCATTAAACAAAAATTCTGGAATAAAATTAGTAAATTGGGCAATGCATATAAAATATCTTATAATGTCGATAGGTATCATCGCTCCTTTTTTTTAATAATAATAGTAGTTTTTATTTCCATGAAGCATGTGGAGCAAAGGGTAAAAGCCTCAAAGGAGGCTTGACCAGCCCTCGCCCCGTACATTAACGTTGCAGCAAAAAAAAAAAAATATATATATATATATAGTATATGCACCAGATTACAAAACAGTTATTAATCACCTAAACAGATGGCATGCACAGTCGTTGCAGAGAGAAATCCGAAAAACGCAAAAACAGTGCATTCTATATAGCATAAACAAATTTAAAGGTTCATTTGAGTGGGGGAAGTAAATCAGTGCTACAGATAAAGAGAGCGAAAAGCCTTGAAGGACGTAGTGTCAATGCAAATTTCTTTTTCTAGAAGGAAATTTAACAGTTTTGGTATGGTATATCGCAACATTTGCCTACCATAGTTAGTAGAACAGTAGATAACCTTCCAATACTCAATGTGTCTAGTTAAGTGAACGTGTAGATTTGGTGTCAATGCCGCTAGAGTTGACAACGATTTATAATGTTTTCTTTTTTATGATTTTAAGCTCATAATCAATCTGTATTCATAAAGGCTATGAATTTTTAATACGCTAAACTTCTTAAACAAACTGCCTGTATGGAAATCATAAGGCAGGTTGCATATTATTCTAACCATTTTTTTTTCTGCAGTAAAAATAATTTTTGCAGGTTTGTGAATGTGGTGTTACCCCAGACGAGGTTGCAGTAGGTCAGATGAGAATAGAATAAAGAGTTGTAAATTAATAGGTTCACACTGACTGGGAGTGTTTTGCCGTTACGGAATGCCAGACCTATGATGGTAGATAATTTTGCAAGTAAGTGGTTAATAAGTGGTTTCAGACTGTGTCTTTGGAAAGACTATGCATACAATTTTCTGCACACAAGCGAAACAAAAAAATATGCACTGGCTGTGGCATACAAAAGTTATATCATCAAATAGCCAGCCTTCGTGACCACCCTAACTGTTGGCATGATCCTTATTGAGAAAATTATGTCTGTCCAAGCTCTAAGAAAAACATAATTCGCTTATCTTACGTCGTATCAAGAGTGACGGGTTGTGGATTTTTGTACGTTGGTCCCATCTCTTGGAAACAGCGTTTCTTTGGAAGCTTGGGAAAAAATATTGTTTCCCTTTGCTGTCTGGGTAATGGTTGACGTAAAGTGTGCTGGTGTCATCTTTTGTGTTACACGTCACGTTATGTTACATCCTGCGATTTGTTTGCGGAGGTTTAAAGAAATGGATTTGTGTTGCTTTGTCGCCTTGGGTGATTATCTGGATTTTGCTTCCTTGGATATGTCTTTCTATGCAGCGTGTTTTTGTTCTTGTTTTTTTTTTTTGTTTTTTTTTTTTGTCTTGTAATTTTTCTTTTTTTTTACTTTAGGGTTTTTCAGTCTTGTGACTTTCCTTTCTTTATTGAAGATTCATTTTGTCTGGGCTTGCAGAAAGGTGTGACCGGAGAGGGGGCTGCCGCCTCGTCAGGCATGTCGTTGCTTTTTTGTGACGGCCCCTTAGACGACAATGCTGCAGGTTGCGTGTATGAATAAAGCTGATTTGATTCGTTATTTCCACTACTGCTCATCACGTGTATTTTTCTAAATAATTTTGATTCCTTTATTCCCTGTTTAGATTTCCAAGCAGCAATACCCTGGAGAGTCGCGAAAGCCTTCCTGCGACTTCAAGCTAAAGCAAATTCTCAATCGAATATATTACAACAAAAATGAGCTGTTTAACACTGTGGCATGTGTCAGACTGTTTAATGCTTGGAACACTGACTTGTTCTATGTCATAAGCATATTAGCAACACTTGTTACTACCTCGTCAGAAAACTGATGTTATAAACCAGTGGTTTCTGAACCCGGGCCTGCGGGAGATCTTCCGACCGGCGCGCGGCTTGCTTTCAGCAGGCCCGCTGCTACCAGCGCAAAAGTAATCCAACGAAAAGGAATGGTTACGCAATGCGCAACAACCCGCGTGAGCAAACAGATAAAAAAAAAGAGAGAGAGAATTGTACCTATCGATAAGGCGTGTTTCCTGGTCGTATTATTTATTGGACACTGTTATCATGAACATCACAATTCTTATACCCGTGCCACACGCACTCTAAAAAAAGTCTGTGCGTCTACTTTCACGCACAACACTAGGAGAGCCAATCAGCGCAACTTACGGAGGCAGCTCAGCGAATGACGATGTCGAAACATCTGTTTAGATCAAAAAACGCAGACTGAGTTGTGACATTAAGCAATGCAAGCGTGACATTTTGCATTGCTTAATGTCACAACTCAGACTGCGTTTCTTGGTCTAAACATATGTTTCGGCATCGTCATTCGCTGAGCTGCCTCCGTATGTTGCGCTGATTGGCTTTCCGAGTGTTGTGCGTGAAAGTAGACGCACAGACGTTTTTTAGGGTGCGGGCAGCTCGAATTCCATTTACAACGAATGACATTCGTGTGATGAACGAATCGGCTCGCGACCCGTCGCGTGTGGAACGCCCCACGCTCGGAGTGTCGCGCGCTGATTGGCCGATCGTTCAAATGTCATTCGTTGTAAATGGCATTCGAGTTGCCCGTGTGGCACGGGTATTAGTTCCTTGTTTCATATATATATAACTGAGCCTGTTAAAATTCCTTTGCATTTCAATGACTATAGCGCTTAGTGTCCTGTGGCGCAACTATTGCATAGTGTCAGCGTAAATTCTATCATTCTCATTAGTCTTCTGCCCTGCAAGAACATGCTAAAATTTGTATGCGCTTTAATTTATGCGTTGTGAGTTTTCTGGATTCCAATTATTGTGCAATGTCATAATTAGCCAAATACGAATTTTCAAAATAAAGTGTATATGTTCAACCGCCTTATATTGTTTTAATTACTCCAGCTTTAAAGTTTGTATTAGGACGACGATCTAGGATTCTGTATTATGCTTATTTCTACTTTATATTTGCTCATTTGTTATCCGGCCCTCGAGACAGTAACATATACGCAATCCAGCCCCTTAGCCAAAAAGTCTGCAGACTCCTGTTCTAAACCGTTCTTTGAAATGGCTAAGGTCGTTCGAAAAAAAAATGCGATGCCACCAATCACAAAAGCGACGAATAATGGGATGAAAATAAAATTCAGGAAAAATATCTGCTAAAGGGTCCCACGAATAATATATTTCTTACATTTTTATTTCTTTAATTCGACTTACCACTTTGAAATGCTGGTAGAATGAGCACCACCGCGAAAACTACCAGCTGCATTTCGCTAATTGGCAACATGCTCCTGAAAGAGTAACAATCACATAAATATGTCCTCGAAACGATCAACAACGGAACTTCGCAAAATATAAAGGTTTTTTGGGTTTTTGTTTTGTTTTTGTTTTTAGAGCGCAGCTTTTAGGCGCCCGTTCCCGTGTTTTGCGGCGTCACCGTCGCTGTCGCCGTCGGCATAACCGGAGGTGAACAGGAGGAGGAAGAGGGGAGGATACGGAGAAGGAGGAGGGAGAGTAAGGAGGAGGAGGAGGGGTGGGGTAGGAGGTGAGGGTCTGGAAGGGGAGGTGGGGTAGGTACGCAGGAGGAGGAGTGGATGGGTACGCAGGAGGAGAGGAGGGTACGGAGGAGGAGGGGAGGGTAGGGAGGAGGAGGAGAGAGTACGTGGTTTGAAGAGGGGAGGGTACGGAGGAGGAGGTGGGGTAGATACGAAGGTGGAGGGTACGACAGAGGAGTAGGACACGGAAGAGGAGGAGGGTGCAGAAAGCACGGTATATCGCAAAATCGAAATACCTGAAGAGCTGCAGTCTAATTTGTTTAAAAGAGCTTTGAACTCTGCACATATGCAGTTTGTGTAGGTTAGTTATACGACCAGGGGGACCAAGCATAGGAGCCTAATCGTAACGGTCGTTCGGCTAATTAAGTATAATTTTTTTTTTAATTGGTGAAAATTGACTTATGGTTCTAATTAAAAAGTGAAAGCCGTTTACAACTCCCTGTAACGCCGAATTAGAGCGCAGCTCTTGAGGAGGAGGAGGGAAGGGTACTGGGGGGGTCAACTGACCGGAGGGGGAGTCACGTGACCTTGGGGGATCACGTGACCTGAGGGTCACGTGACGATGACAATGCCGATGATGTCCTCAGTGACGTCACTGATAACGTCATCAGTGACGATGACGATGCGGATACCGATGACGTCACCAGTGATTATGACGATGACGATGCGGATGTCGGTGACGTCATTAGCGACGTCATCAGTGATAATGACGATGACGATGCGGATGCCAGTTACGACATCAGTGACGTCACTCATGACTTCATCAGTGATGATGACGATGACGATGCGGATGTCCGTGACGTCATCAGTGATGATGACGATGACGATGTGAATGCCGGTGGTGTCATCAGTGACGATGACAATGCGGATGCCGGTGACGTCATCAGTGACGATGACGTCATCAGTGATGATGACGATGACGATGCGGTTGCCGGTGACGTCATCAGTGACGGGTCACGTGACCTCAGCGAGGGGGTCACGTAACCCCAGGGGAGTCACGTGACAGGGGGGGTCACGTGACCTTATAGGGTCACGTGACCTTGGGAGGGACCTTGAGGGGTCACGTGACCTTGGGGGGTCACATGACCTGGGGGTCACGTGACCTTGGGGGTCAGATAACCTGGGGGATCACGTGACCTTGGGGGTCACGTGACCTTGGGGTGACCTTGGTTACGCCGACGGCGACGCCGCTCAAGCCGGAAACGGGCGCCTAAGAGCTGCGCTCTAAAACATGTAGAGCGCCATTGAAAGCCACTAAATCAATAATTTTTAGAGTTACTTTGAGCGCGTGGGAAACGTAGTAGCGCGCTAAAGGTACCACTCGCGCAACAGGAACAAGGCTGGGGCTATAATGAGAGGCGGAAAAATCGCACGGGCGGGTATTATCACACCGGTAGCCTTGTGCCTGCTCCACGAGTGGTAACTTTAGCGCACCACTGCGCTTCTGACGCGCTCAAAGTCTTTTTAGATATTATTCATTTAGTGGTTTTCAATAACGCTCAGCAATCTTCTAATTGGAACCATATGTCTCCTTGTATTATTCAAAAAGTTAATTAACAATATTGCTCAATTAGCCGACGGATCGTAACAATAAGCGCCCTTATATTATAATCTAATAATATAACAGTTTATTTCCATTACACTTAATGGTGGAGCCAAAAAAAAAGCCCTGCTACGCGGCTTGACGAGTTCTTGGCCCCAGTATCGGTTGACCCAAGTCACCAGGCTCGGTCTTAAATGGACCGTAAAAATTGACGCCTGCACGTAGCAATCCAAACTTTTCATCAAAGGTGTATTTCACACGTCGGTTTTTTTCTTATTAAATGAAAAAGCGTAGCTCCCTCTCTGTAAAAAAATAGGGCCAAGAAACTTGCCAGGGTCAAAGGCGGGTGGCAACGCAGCCGACCAAGTCGAGTTGCGGGGTGCCTTTGAAGCGCGTACTGATAGATGGCGTTGCGAGCAGCGTCGAAACATCGGAAGGTAAAACCGACCAGCAAAAGAAAGCAGATGACACGCAGACGAAATCCGTTGGCAGCAAAAGCGCTGTTATTATGCCGGCGCGTTTTTATTTTTAAGTTTTGCTGTTATTGTTTGTGTTTATTTTTAATTAAAGGTACATTACAAAAAGATTGTGTTCATTTTGATGAACCATGGTGGATGCGAGCCGTCTCGATAAAAATGTAGCTCCATTTATCAACACGCGCGCCAAACCCGCCCAGCAACTCGACTTGGTCGCCTGCGTCGCCGCCCGCCGTAGACCCTGGCAAGTTTCTTGGTCCTATTTTTTACAGAAAGAGGGCTACGCTTTCTAAATTTGCAAAAGAAAAACCGACGTGGGAAATACACTTTTGACGAAAAGTTTAGATTGCTACGTACAGGTGCCGATTTTTACGGTTCATTTTATACCGAGCCTGGTGACTTGGGTCACCCTATACATTCTTCAGAAGCTTCGATACCCAAACTATACCCAAACAAAAATCGTGCATAATCACAATGAATACGAAAGAAAACAAGAAAAGAAAAAAACGTCATTGAGCACCATATTAGTCGACATTCGTAAATCAACAGAAAACATTCGTTTAAACTAAAAGAAAAAGAAAAAAAACAAATCATATCACATCAATCTATATATGCAAAATCATGCATGACAGAGCGCAATTCACCCTGAGTTAATATATTTAAAAGCACACCTTCAGAATGCAATACATTTAGAAGCTTTGGGGTTTAATATGCTAACATTTCCTCTCCAGTGTTCAGCCGACACGTTCGTACGTGCCAGTAATCTGGATTACGAATTTGGTATGCTACGATATGTTGTTGCAAAAAAGACAATTCTACCAGGGACGAAGTGTTAAAGAGAAATTCTGTTCTAAGTTTTGTGGATAGCCTATAGTTATAAAAATTGTGAATACTGAGAATATAATAATTTTTAAACAGGTTTTTCGTGTGCGAAAGATAAGGTACGTTTGCAGTTACTCGCAACATTCGTTTTTGAAGCAGGCACACTTTCTCAAGATTAGTTGCAGTGGTAGAACCCCAGGCTAACGAACAATTATTTAAATGTGAATAAAATGATGACTTGTATAATAATATTTTAACCCTGACCCTCTGATGCCCTCTGATCATATAAATCACCTGCACACACCGTATAAATCTAGCTTTCATGCTTTTTTAACAAATTTTAATCTTAAAAAACACCGTCTACATTCGGTGTTGAAGGACCACTAAAAAAAAAATATTTTTAACAGTTTGGTTCGGACACGCGTGTCAAAAAATAAATTCTATGCGATTTTTTTTAGCAATAGATCTGGTGCTATATAACCCAAGCATCAAGAATAATGGAGGGATTGGTGTTCCACGCGCCTTCGTCAACGCTTTCCCGTAAACGTCACAGCTTCCCCGTATACGGGGAAGGCGTGCGAGTGCGGCACGTGGACCACCGTTCCCTGCATTCTTCATGCTTGGGAAATATAGCAATAGGTCCATATTGAGGGCGCGATATTCATTTTAAATCATGCGCGCAAAGTCCACGACGTCAAGGAATGGTCATTCGCTCCTTCCACCTCAACGCGTTGGCCAAGCTGATCTAGCTCTCCTCCACGCGCCCGAAATGCCGAGAGAGAAAACAAGCGGAACGGAGGTGACTACCAACTAAATCGCGTCTCGTGCCGTCAATATTGCTCTAATTATGATTTTTTTTTTCGCGTAAAATGTGTTTTTTTGACACGCGTGTCCCAATTAAACTGTTTTAAAAAAAGCAATGTGTTTTTTTTTTTTTTTTTCCTTTTCAGTGGCCCTTTAAGGTCGCATGATGTGTTGTATCACCGGTGTATGCATATGTTTCTGAAAGTATTCTCTGATGTCTGCTTAATCCGACATATATTCTCACGCCAGAAACAGAAAGAAGAGCATTGCAAATAATAAAAAAATCAGTACCCTTGCAAAATCAATAAACCTCATTTTGACAATTATACACCGCTAGCGCCCTTGGGAAACCGAAATCACGCGATACAAAATTGCTTTTGAGATACAGTAAACAGGAATTGTAATAGTAATTTCATCATTTTCTAGCGCATAATAATTTCTAGAAACCTAACCACATATTCAATCGTTTAAATACTTTTCACTCCAGAAAAAAAAAAAAAACTAGGAAAATAATGAGTTTGCCTAGTGAAATAAACACGAAACAAAATCTCGCCTGCAGCATAGAGTTTCCAGTGCTTCCAGATGTTGCTCTCGTAATTATTTTTCTTCTTCGAGCGGTGCACCGTAGCCTGCGCACTTTTGTGATTCGGAAATATCTCAGAAAACCCACTAAAGAGATCTGCTGTTTTAGCACATAAACTTCGGTGTTAATCTTCAGGAATAATAAGGTTTTTAATCAAGAGAATGGCTAAAAAACGGCAGGAATAACATGGCAACATAGCTTAGATCTACTTATTCCAGTACGTTAGTCAAACAGAGGATGGTATGAATACATCTTCCCGAACAAAAATAAACTGCACATCGAACTTTGTGCACCTCTAACAGCACCGCATTGCAACAATAAATTATACGAAGGCGTTCGAATTTTATAGAGAATTCACGTACCGGATTCTTGCGTAAGAAACTTGAAGTGGCGACTGAGTCTGTGTTGTGGAGGTTCGGTGGCTTATTTATACCCCAGATTGTAGGCGTGTTCCTTGCAACGGGCGACTGTTAAACGTTTTCTCGCCAATGGTAGATTAGGAAGTCGGCAGGAGGAGGAGACAAAAACTGCGCCTGTAAATCTGGCCATTAGACTCAATTCGACGAGCATTGTCTTGCCTTGAGAAGAGAAAACAAAAACTGCATGGAATTCGCGATTAAAAATAACCTTCTTGCAGCCGTTTGTACCTCGGCGAAGTTCCATTTACACGTGTTTTCTTTTTAGAATACATTTTTCGCACAAAAGTGCTGTACACCTTTAAAGAATAAATTCTGCGTTGTTTTCGCCTGATGCAGGTGCCGCGAATGCTGGGATTTGTTTTACAAAATTGTTCGTCCCCACCAAAGAGGCTCAGGATGGTCGTCATAATAACACGTTTCACTCCGGGCACTAAGCTGCACAATCTCAAACAGTTGTGTGTTGCAGCTCCAAGGCCCCAAGCAGTGGATAAAAAATGAACTTCTGGAGAAACTATTTGATTGTGCCGGGAACTGCATACAAACATCTCCTGTGGCAGTTTATTTCACCTGCTTAAAAGAAATTTTTAATCAACGCAGCGACGGAGCTGTACCTAAATCACGTGCCATGAATGCCTGCTGGCTACGCATGCAAACGTTCGATTCCGCTCTTAGATAAAGCGCAAAGCGTCTTAAAATCGATGCAAAATGAGCCGTATCTCTGTAGCAGTCTGTGAAATTGCTGCTGGTAGAATTCATGTTAAATTTTTTTGAAGTAGGATAATATCGAAGTGTTACGTCTCAGGAGGGGATGTCGATCTAGACGTACTAGTACTCTTGAAATCATTTCACCTGGTTTGCTGAGGGCTTCAACACGCAGAACTTACGTTCTAACCCAGAAAGCTCAAGGTTGAAGTTCTATCGATACCCGGTCCTATTATTAATAGTTATTTGGCTTTTTACGATATTTATATGATGCACTCTTGTAAGGTTAACACTATTCTGTCTTTGAACACTTTTTGGTTAATTCCTCGTCTCTCTTATACTAACATAACGCCGATGTCCTAACAGGCGCGATAGAATAATAATCGGAATAAATATCTCTTCCGCTTGATTAACGAAGAAAAAGCGATTCAATAAATTGCATGTACATAAAATTAGTTATTTCTATAAAGATACCACAGCAAGAAATATATATATATATATATATATATATATATATATATATATATATATATATATATATATTTAAAGTTTTTAATGGTTCATTCCTAACAGAGTTTCAAGAAACCATCTAAAATGCATTCCGTATTTGTTTATTATTTTGCAACTAGGATACGATATAAAAATTACAGATTGCGGAAATTTCTAATGGCCCAATCATAACTGAGTCAAAAGAAAAGTCCTAAATTCATTGTTTTTCTTCCTTGTTGAAACTCTGCTAGAGCATAAAATTTTTAACGATTGTTTCCGATTAGCGTATTTATATGACAGTATCTTTATGTACTCATATATTATTCCCAAGTCAGCCAGGCGGAAGACATACACATATTTCTCCTGATTACTTATCCTGTTACGTAGTTGAAACCATTGGAGTTTCGTCGGGGAAGGAGCGACGAGTAATATACAAATAAATTTATAAATTAGCAATAGTGTTGATACTGCGAGGCTGTACCATAAACGTATAGTAAAACACAAAACGAAATCTAAAAAAAAAACAAAAAAACTTTTGGTTTTAAGTTGAATAAATTTTAAATATTTTAGGGCTGGAGGAAGGCTTAGCGATCATACAATTCGGCAAACCACAAACATGATCCCTGGTGGACTCACATCCCTCTATAGCTCTCATCGTTAAGTATAGCACTGTAATATTATTATTTTTTTTTTTTTCATTCTGGTTCCACACTTGTCTCTCGTCAAAAATGTTGAACGCCTCCCTTAGATTACAAGGACGCGGTTCATTTCTCTTGTATTTTAAGATATTCTTTGGATAATGCAAACAGTGGTGAACGGCAGCTATTTAGCTACTGCTTCGTTGATGCATAGGTGAAAATTTACTTTATAGCCGGAGGGAATCCTTCATACTGAGCGCTGAAGAGAGTTGAAGTCGAACCGCGCGGTTGCAAATGAGTTCAATACACAATGGCGAGTGTGGAGACGCGGACATCATAATGCCCCTTGGTAAGCTTTACGCTTCACGTTTCCTAAAAGTACCGACAACTATTGTTTTGCGAACGCGGGGAACACGTGACACGAGTGAGTTCCCCTCCCCTATTTGCTTCCAAGGGTCGTATGAGGCACGGGTCTCATGCATTGGCTCACTGATGACGCCTTAAGACGGAGACAAACACATCGATGGGCTTTAGGATATATACAGATATTCTGCATGAAATGTCTAGTCAAAATAAAGCAAGGTCACCTACTTTTCCACAGCCTGGAAAAGGGAATCCATCATGCGCTTGCCCACAATGTCAGCCAGGATGCTTCGTATGTGCAGACAATACACCAGAGGCCGACTATCCAAGGAAAACCATTTTAGTCAGAATCTGCCTCCCTGGACCGCACACCGTGTAAGGACTAAACCATTGTCTGTAAAATATCATAGTTATTTTCAAGAATTAATTTGATCTTTCTATGACTTTGAACTGGTTTACCAGTTTGCGCTAATTATCGACTAATTTTATCATCTTTAAAATGCAAAGTGCAATCAAAGTAATACCTTACAAGCATTTTTAATTCAATTAAATATCAAACTTCTGTAAGACAATTAAGCACATTTATCTCAAAACACTTCTTGCAGTAATGCCTGACCGTAGTCCCTGACAGCTCAAGAAACGCAGAGAGTCACGAGTTCCGAACATCTAATTATCGCTCCGTAATCAATGAGATTGAACGACGAACCGATACCAAAAACCCGTATATTCTTGTAAAATGGTACAGTGGCACTATACTGCAAGCCCCCGATGCAACTTGATAGCCTGCAACGACTATTGGCTTCGTATGACACCTGCTGCAGGTGTTTTCCCATATGTATCTAATTATCACCCAAGCTATTTCTTGTTCACCATCGCGTTGTTTTAGAACAGACTATTTGTGGTCGATTTTACAGTTCTTTTTAATATTTTAAGTCCCGTCAGAAAATCACGCTTTTGCCTTACAAAAAATTAGTTTGAGATGTCAAGCGGGCATTGTACATCCTTTTAAACTCGTATGTACACAACAATAGAACAAAGAGGGCTGCACGAAAAAAATATATCCGCGATGCGCTTGCACCGGCATAATCTTAAAGCGAAAACTTATATACGTTGAGCATTCTATAAACGCACGTTATTTATTTAATAGCAACAGCATCGAATACGAAGGTGTTGAAATAGTGCAAGTAACTTACGTAATGTGGCTCCAAGAAATGTGAACGTGCGCTGCAAAGCTCAAGTAGTTTTTCGCCTCTTTGATTGCACATTTATCGACGACAACGGTTGACAAAACTAGTCAGGAGTACATCAACATTTTTAAGTATAAAGGGTATTTGTTTTTTAAAAAAACATAGTGAAAGATACACGCTTTGTACACACGAGTTTTACGGCCAGGCGGCTATAATATCGGAGTCTAATCTTCTCGATCAGTCGAATAATTAGCTCAAACATGCTCATTACATCTTTAATTACTGAAATATAACGAATGGTTTCAGTTAAAATTTGTTTCGAAGGAAACCGATTGTTCGATTTCTTAGGAAAAAGAAACGTATATATTCCTGCCTTTTAATACGATGAACAGCACTAACGTTACAGAATTCCAATAGCTGAACATTGTCTGACTAACCTTGATCACGAAGCAGGTAATTATTTGGAAAGGCAGTAGTGCATAACCCAATCGGATTCCGTTCGGATGTTGCCTCGGGGATATTCAGATTACATGGTCATGGGGTCAGGCCAGTATTCACTGGCGGAAGGAGCAAACGAAGCGTGGGCCAATATGACAGCGCTAGAGGGGCAACGTCATGCATGGCGCAGAATGGCGCATTTATGACCTATCTATATACACTTGCGAATTCGCGGGCAGATCCTCGCGGGCGGAAAGTGGATTTTGGGGCCAGGTGTCGAAATCGACTCGTCACTGGCGGAAGATCTGTGTCAGTCGGGGACCTTTATTCAGATTTTCCGCCAGCGGCGAATTGATATCGCTACCCGGCTCGATTACCCGCTCAGCACGTATTCGTCCGCGAATCCGCAAGTGTACCGTAATGCGGCGTTCGATTGTCCCTTCGTGCTCCCCGTTGTAATGGCGAGCCTCGCGTTAACGTATTATAAGGACTTTCTGTCTGTTAAAAAAACGTGATTTTTTTTTTTTAATGTGTTAGCCTTGGTAGCCTGGTACATGCGCTGACCTTGGACGAGGTTGGAGCACACTTCTATAGAGTTCGCTACGTCATTACGGAATGGCGCCACAGCCCTATGAAGGAGTACGGAAGCAAACTTTTACGGGCTATTTCTTTGTTTAGAAGTGGTGTATTTTTTTACAGCAGCTCAAAAACACCAGTCTTTCATTCGTAAACGCAATAAAAGCAATTTTAAAACCAACAAAACTATTTCCCAATACCACCTGGTAGTTTAGGGCCGAGCTTCTTCGGTATGTCTCACGTCACGGGCCCATCAGTAGCAGCGCCACGGTGCGGCGTGTCTGATGGAGGCACCCGGGAACGAGCGGCGCTTGGTACACCTTTCAGTTCTAGTTTACCCTACCTCAGGTATCCCCAGTGGGCGGGATTGTAATGCGTTGACAATAAAGCCGGCGCCATTTAGTGACAACGATCGTAATTACGGCACCGTTGTCCGTTTATGAGCCCCTGGCGTTGCTAGCGCGACATCACGGGGCAAATATCCCGTGACGCATCGCGCCGCCTCATTGCTGATTTTGAATTGCTCGCCAGAATCCGTCGGTTGGCACGAACAATATAGCTATCAGCAGAAAATGCAAGCG